CTTAATATAAAAATCAAATAAACAAATATTATAATATACATTTAATACTAAATCAATCGCGCGATAAAGTTAAATTGGTATGCTTTAAATTTTATAAAACAAAATCAACGCTGTTCTAAATAAGACTATAATAATTTATCATATAAGCGAAAAAAAATTTTAGCACGATACAATTGTAATTTAAATTTATTGTCACACAACACATAAATCACCGTGGTCAATAAAAAAGAAATTTCGATAAAGAATTTCTTTTATTTTTCAACGCTATCCTTCACGTATCTCAAAGCGTTTCTCACCCGCAAAGTTTACACATTACAAAGACATTGATTTTATGTATCCAATCACCGCGAGTACCTCGCGTCGAGATGATAATGTCAATCCAATTTCAAACTTCTAATCCAAAGTTACTCCCCTATAAACTTCCATGGTCGTTCGTTTCGATACGAACAGTCGATATATATTTTCAATCTCGCTGATTCGTCTAACTTTATCGCGCTGAGAAAAGTATCTAACAACTGCGCAACCAAACACGAAAATATATTTTCATCGTCGCTAACATTTTATATGGATTTATTTTCATAAATGCGTAAACAAGAATAATTCAAACTTAAATCTCCATTTAAATAGTCTATTTTGGATTCTCTTGAAAATATAAAATTAATAATTGATTTATTTACTTATTTATCTATTGTCCTAATAGGAAAAATAAACAAATATCAATTAATCTAGCAAATAACGGAGACATGCCTAGAATATTCTGAAGGTTAAAGATCTTAAATAACTTTAGAGAACTAGCTTAACCTGGACATCAAAAGATATCACGACCTTCAGTTCTATTATATCGAATCATGAAATCCTGATGATCAAGGCATGATAATTCGGTGAAGCGTCTATAATTCAGACGTACCACGTGCTGTCCCTAATTTCCTTGATATTCGCATCGAAGGGTTCTTCCGCTCGAGGAGCCTAAGGATGCCAGAAATACCTTACTATCGAGATATATATATTGAAGCGTTCCTTATAGGATAGGCCTAGATACTTTGGACTTGTATTAATTTCATATCCCTTCCGCCGGCTGATACGCGGACGGTACGTTCAATCGACTATTTATTACCGACGTATATCCAATCTCGTGCCCTCTTCGAGATATCGCCTAGATGGTAGGGAGTGCCAAGTGGATATTAATTTCGATTAGTCCGCTCTAAGGAAACTTGATTGAAAACAGGATCGTCGACCGATATGAGAAACTATAATTATAAAATAGTACACATATCTATTTATGTACTTATGTTAGTTTCATCTATTTCAAATATTTAATATAATGACGTTATCCTAATTAAATATAAAAAGAAATAAATAACAACAAACTATACCTTTATCTTTCAACTACCAAGTCTAATAAGATCAAATGAAAAGTTAAGAAAAGAGAAGATACGAGTAAATAAGTTTAAGAAGATTCTCAAAGGGACCAAGGAAGAAGACGAGATAGGATTAGATAATTGGAACGGTACACCTCCCCACCTACTATAAAAGTATCTCGAAGGAAATCGGTGGAAAGTTAAATGTGAGTTCTATTAACGAAATCGAGTTGGCTCTTAGCAAAGCCAAGTGTGGATATGCACCGCATTACTGTAACCCCGTAAAGGAATTTGCGGTTCAAGTTGCGTTCCTCGCGGAGATGGAAGAACCTTCTGCCTTTCCATAGCATCTGTCCTACTCTTCGAAGCAAGTCTTCTCCTTCACTTTAACGCACTCCTTTCTCGCTTTACTTCTCCTTCTACTGATGATCCGCGGCCTCGGTCACCCCAAGGCTAGTTTCTCCGCAGAACCCTTAAGCATAACTATCCGCACAAGTTGAAATCCGTAGGTACTTTCGTTGCGACGAAGCTACGAACTCGGCTCCCTTTTCAGAGTAACCACCCCTCTACCTCCACTCTCCCTCTACCTTCATCGTTTTCGTTCAGGTCTCGAACGCGAAGGCTATATTAGTTGCAAAAGCCAGCCGAAAGGTGAAGTGGTGGTAGGTAGAGGTCTCGACGCTCCAAACGCTGTTCCAAGCTAAGATCGAGAGAAAGAGAATCTATAGAGAGAGAATATCACGGTGAAAATAATAAGCCTAGCGTTTAGAATCGATGAGGTTCTTAGAAATCTGAGAATAACATTCAAAATTTTTCCTAATTAAATAAAATATATAATGAAATATACAAAATTCATCTTTAGTGTTCTCAGAAAATTTCCATTCTTTTTTCATCTTCTTCCTTTTCTTCATTCTAATATCAGTGCAAGCAAGAAATTCCGGTTTGGATCCTCAATGATTAGAACGACAGTTACACACACATCTAATAGAACCAGTCTTGCTTAAACGATCCTGCTTTGTCCATCCATATAAATAGTGAACCGGTAAACTCATGGAACTTCTATGAAAAAATAATGTGTCTCAGTTTCTCAACGGTTTTCGTGTACCTAACATAGGATAATGGAACATAAAAATAGTAGAAGATTATATGGAAGAAAATAACATGATAAAAGAAAAGAACGCCATCGAAAGATGTTCGAGGAATATACGAAAGGGTTGGCCCAATCAAGGGAAGTACGAAAGAGGGATGGGATGGTCCAGAGAGAGGGTATATGATGGTGGAGGCAACTCGTGCTTATATCGATTCCACCTAAGATTGCCCCAGGCTGTTCTCATAAGTCGAGATTGAAATTGGAAGATAGAAAAAAAAAAAATCAGAAAAGGAAATTTCACACGATTTATGTTTATCCAAAAATAAAATTCAATAAATGTGATTAAACGAACAAAAATGTTTCTCTTTGAGAAAAAATATTCTAATAAAGGACCGTACAAATATCATAAAATTTACTATAATTTGAATATGTAACAAAAAATAGTTCATACCAATTGGGATTGTAAGCGGCATTGAAACTGTTATTTCAGAAACACTAAAATCGATATCTTTACGAATAATTTCCACGTATCAGCTTGATATCAAATTAATTAAAAAATTATTTAAGGTAAAAATACTCATACTAACGTTTAAAAAGCGTCCATTTACTCGAGTATCAAGTTGTAATATCGAAAGGATCTAATGTAAGCAAATGTTTGCTATTTGCTATTCTATCAATTTGATCGAATGGAAAATTCTTTTGACGATCTTTAAGGGACTCTTATAACGTGTATTAAATCGAAAAAAAAAATGCAAATGAGTACTTTGGTAGAAAATTAGCAATTCGGTGAAGAGAGACAATCGGAATTCGGAATCAGCGGTGAGTCTAGGAAAGCCAGAAAGATAAGACGTAATTAAAGTCGATGGGCAAGAGGGATAAGGAAGAGAGAACCGATGGAAGTACATAGGTTCGCAGGAGAGCATAAACTTGTCCCAGGGGATGAGCTTGCTCTCAGTTGGCCCTCAGCAACATTACAAGGGGAGTATCACGAATGCGACCACGAAACGCAACTCCTTTGTCAGACTTGCGTTTCACCATTTAACAGCTAGCCAAGAGAGCGAACCGGAAAGAGAATCTTGGTTAATCTTACTAATCTTAGAACGATCGAAGGAGTGGACCGACCCTACAATATCGAGAGAAATACGCTGTTGATCGTTCGAAAACCACGAGATGTTGATATTACCTAACTGCCAATAAATTTTGAAAACTTTTCCAATTCTATAATACTTAAAGTATAAACTAGTACTTAAATATTATTCTTATTATCAATTATATATTCTAAATGGATTTATTTTTCCACACCTTATATTTTATCGAAATATCTTCGTAACTGAGCCTTCTGAATTAAATAACTCGAGTAAAGCCATTAGAAGCATCAAAGTAAACTCTGCCTGACATAATCTTTGTTTTTGTCCCAGTGCCTTTAGTATTTAGTACGGAGAAGTAAATACGAAATGGGAAATAATACTTGCTTTGATCTTTTGAAATATTCATGAATATAACACGCCAAAAAGCCAAATCGTTTTTGCAATATCATTGATAAAGTTACGAACTAACAATAAGAGTATTTCGAACTTGTGGAATCATTAAATAAATTACAAATTAATTATAGCCATACACAAGTTTCAATATAATACGAAGAATAATTTCATTAGAAATTTAAATTAGAAATTAAAATTTTTCAATGAAAATTAACTATCAATACATTTAAAATTTATGTTCAAAAATCGAATCTATAAACATGAAAAAATAAAAGTCTATAACTTATATCACCCTATACACATAGATCAAAATTTTAAATGAACAAAGATCGTCTTAAGTATCAAAGTTTATCGCTAATAGTTACGTGGCTTAAATGACCTGTAAACGAGTTGATTATTGTAGATAATTATGGATTACTAAACCTTCCCTGAATATGCATATTAGTTGCATATGAAAACTAACAGTTCTTATAACAGTGTCAAGATAAACAATTCTATGATCAGGACGTTGCAAGCATTTAGGTAAGATTACTATTTTATAGAATTAATTTTTCATTAGAAATAAACATCGACTATTAAATTTCATAAATTTATAAAAATATATTATTATTATAGTTTTATCTCTTTTATATAAAATATAATAACGTCACATTAATTTCATTATTGAAATTAGATTATTCTAATCTTGAAAATAATGAAGAAAATTAAACGTCTTAAAATTATATAACGAAATATCACATATCTGCCATTCACATGTATTCCTACACGATATGTATATTGAGTACAGAATAACAGATTTCTTGAAGCAAAGAAATTATATACATACACATGTATGTATAATGTTACTCCGATAAATACATATGTATAGGGTGATACATTTAATACATCAAAAATATTTTCAAGCGCAAGATGAACTTTTAATATAATCACTATTTTTACATTTTTAAATACGTGATTAACGATTATTATCAAACATATGTATGTAACATTATAATGTTTTCAGTAACGTCTGACATATAATATAAAAGACATAATGTTTCTTATGAATCACCTTATCTATATATCCATTCACACAGAGCCTGTTTCTAAAAGCCGGTCGCGTCACTAAGAATCTTCATTCTATTAACGTTCAATCATCCAGCACTGAATATACATATTTAACTAGTTCATAACTGCGTACATGTAAGAAATTACTATAAGAAAGTATTGAATAAAATCGTGCTAATCAAAGCAACAAGGAAACAGGACAAAAGGTTCTCAAGTGTTTATTATCGTTCATTTTTCCAGTTTTTTTAAGCGAATTATGTCTACGGAGGCACGAGGAATCGTACTATCTGGTACACAATTGGCTAAGTAAGTTATAAATTTTATTTATTTGTATTTCTTTTTTGCTAATTAACGTCTAACATTAACATACTTTTAAATTCCAACTGTAAATTCAACATGTGTTTCAACGCATGCATAAGGATAATTAATTTATATATTTCTCGCATTATTGTCATGTGATTAACATAAAATTATATAAAATTATTACTTGCGTACCCCTGTTCAAAATCAAAATAATGGAGATAAGTATTAAAAAAAAATATGAACTAACCTACCTTGCACGAATATTTCTAAGATTTAAGGTTATGGGGATCTATAAAAGCGGGAGAAGCAAATTAAGGCGGGATTCGCTCTTACTGTATTCAAATAACCATATTTGAACGGCACATGTAATTATTTTAAATATATGTATATATGTGTGTGTTTGTCGTATAATAAATTATGATTTCTCATTTATCATTGTAAATGTAAAATAATAAATTGAAGAAAAAAAACCATTCTTACGAAAATTTAATTTTACAGAGAAATTCGTGCATCCTTAACACAAGATGTAAAAAATGTAAGGGCTAAGTTACCAAACTTTACTCCTTGTTTGGCTATTGTCCAAGTCGGTGGTAGAGAAGATTCCAACGTTTATATACGAATGAAAATCAAGGCGGCTACCGACATTGGAATAAATGCACAACATGTTAAACTTCCGAACACCACAACGGAAATTGAACTGATCAACATAGTAAACAAATTAAACAATGATCCTACCGTTCACGGTATCATCGTTCAAATGCCGCTTGATAGCATTAATGAAATTAATTCTCATTTAATCACGGACACAGTATCACCTTCTAAAGATGTTGATGGGTAAATAATTATTTTTATTTTTCTAATATCTAATATAAGTAAAGTAATTGAAAGAATTTAATTTTATCAATTTCTGATCCCTCCAATTTTAAAAATGGTGTATTCATATGATTTGTAAATTTAATGAAATATTAATAATTTACTACTTCCATTCTTATCAGTATACAATTTTTAGAATATAAAATTAACGGAAATATTATTATTGATGCAATAATAATACATCATATTATCGGTACTTCTCCTACAAAATAATAAATATGTTGTTATCATGTAGCTCTAGATTATTTTTTTTGTTTTTTATATCAATCTGTAACAAATATGTTTTACGAAACTCGTTGAAAATAGTACGATTGTGAAAATGTATACAATCAGTACGCCCTTTAACCTAAAGTGACGTATGAGATAAAAAGAACAGAGAATTTTTAAATGAAAGCATCATATTCTCGAAAAATCTATAATCTCACATACTTTATCATTATGACAAAAGTATAGATTATATATACGATATTAAATATTGTTAGGAGACTCCCCGAAATAATCTTGGAATCTTTATTTTAATCGCGAGATTACAGATCAACATTTTATCATGATTTCCGGTAAATGAAAATATTACGAAAATTTAGCGATGATTTAACAAATTATGTAACATACGTACGTAATAATAAAATATTATATACATACATGTGTGTGTATAATTTTATTATACAAAACATTATTTTTCAGTCTCAACACGATTAACGAAGGAAGAGTTGCAATCGGTGATATGTCAGGATTTGTCCCATGCACACCTAATGGCTGCATCGAGCTCATTAAAAAGTAAATGAAAGAAACTGTCATTTAAACAAATCGTATAAATTATTTTCACCTTTTTAAACTTAATATTATATCGCAGAAGCGGTGTATCGATCGCCGGTGCTCAAGCCGTAGTTTTGGGTAGAAGTAAAATTGTAGGTACACCTGCAGCCGAATTATTAAAATGGCACAATGCAACAGTGACAGTATGTCATTCCAAAACGAACAATCTTCCAAAAATAGTAAGTTTTTCAAACGGAAAGACCAAAAATGATACGAAAATGAATGTAAATCACAAATACTCCTAAACTGCTTTGTTTTAAAATTTAATTAATTTTCTAGATCTCTCAAGCTGATATCTTGATCGTGGCTATCGGTAAGCCTGAATTCGTTAAAGGGAGTTGGATAAAATCTGGTGCTGTTGTAATAGATTGTGGCATCAATGCCATTCCAGGTAAGATAAAGAAACAAAAGTACTTAATTGTCTATATATGTAATTTAGTAATAAAAAGTGTCTCGTGTCGATGATATCGAGAAATATAATAATAAAGTAATATTTTAAGATCTTATAATATCTGTGTATTATAAAGTCGTATAGAATGTTTTGTAATAATATTTTATAAATTTCTTCTATTTCAATTAACGTAGTTATATTAGGAAATATATATCTTTGTGTTATATTTAATACCTGTACTTAATTTCAGATCCTACGAAAAAAAGCGGTGAGCGTTTAGTAGGTGACGTTGCTTATGAGGAAGCTTCGAAAGTAGCTTCGTATATTACGCCCGTTCCCGGTGGTGTTGGCCCTATGACAGTAGCAATGCTGATGAAAAACACAGTAACATCAGCGACAAAAATGGCTGAAAACCTTGTTAATGTCGATTGGAAGCTAAAAATTCTAAAAATTAATCCACTAAGACCAGTTCCAAGTGATATAGCCATCTCTAGAAGTCAAACATATAAGCCTATTGCAAGCTTGGCTGAAGAAATCGGTCTATTACCAAACGAGTTGAGTCCTTATGGAGATAACAAGGGTAAAATAAGTTTAAATGTCCTAAAGAGACTGAAGGATCAGCAAAATGGAAAATTCGTGGTCGTCGCTGGAATTACGCCAACGCCTTTCGGTGAAGGTAAAAGTACAACAGCTCTTGGATTAGTGCAAGCTCTTTCAGCACATAAAGGAACAAATTCTTTTGCTACGTTAAGGCAGCCTAGTCAAGGACCTACTTTTGGAGTTAAAGGAGGAGCTGCTGGTGGTGGATATGCACAAGTATGTGCATACATAAAGAAAATTATTCAAATTTTATATTTGATAATTATAATAAAACATGTTCTTATCTTTTTCATTGTAGGTAATTCCTATGGAAGAATTCAATCTTCATTTAACCGGAGACATCCACGCTGTAACCGCCGCAAATAATCTTTTAGCAGCTCAAATTGATGCTCGATACTTCCATGAATCCACTCAAAATGACAAGGCTCTGTACGACAGACTGGTACCTTCGATTAAAGGTGTCCGAAAATTCTCCAAAATTCAATTAAAGAGATTACAAAAACTTGGAATCTCTAAAACTGATCCAAACTCATTGACAGAAGAAGAACAACGCAAGTTCGCACGATTGGACATCGATCCACAAAACATTACGTGGACTAGAGGTATGCACAATAAAAAAAAAATTAATTATTTTATCGTCAGTCATACAAGTGTATCTTCATTAGATTTATTTTTTTTTTTAGTGGTTGATATAAATGATCGTTTCTTACGTAAAATAACTATTGGCCAAAGTCCAACTGAGAAAAATAAAACAAGAGAAACTTCCTTCCATATTTCTGTTAGTTCTGAAATAATGGCGATACTTGCTTTAGCTACAAACGTTGAAGATTTAAAGCAAAGATTGGGCAATATAGTAGTTGGATTCGATAAGAATGGCAATCCCTTAACTGCTGAAGATTTTGTTCGTATATTGTTAACGATTATTACAAATTGAGGTATTTTTATTTATTTATATTTATTCTTTGCTTACTTTGATTAATTTAATAGGGTATGACTGGTGCAATGGTTATCCTTCTGAAAGATGCGATCGAACCAACACTTATGCAATCTTTGGAAGGTACACCTGTAATGGTTCATGCTGGTCCCTTCGCTAATATCGCACACGGTTGTTCCTCGATAATAGCAGACGCTATTGCATTGAAACTAGTCGGACCAAATGGTATCGTAGTGACAGAAGCTGGATTTGGTTCCGATATAGGCATGGAAAAATTCTTTGATATTAAGTGTAGAACATCTGGGCTCGTACCAAATGCTGTAGTTCTTGTTACAACTGTAAGAGCCTTGAAAATGCATGGTGGTGGTCCAGTAGTAAACCCAGGAACAGCTTTAAAAAAAGAATATATTGAGGAAAACGTTGAACTTGTTAGAAAAGGTCTTCCAAATCTTCAAAAACATATCAGCAATGGTCTGAAATATGGAGTACCCGTTGTTGTAGCTATAAATTCGCACTCGTAAGTATTTCAATCGACGTTAAGTATCAGAAATTTTTAAAAAATTCTTTTTAAAATAGATTTCGAAAATAAATTTCTTGTTATAATAAAAATAAATAATTATTATTCTCTTAGTACCGATACAGAAGCTGAACTACAGCTTATCCAAAAAGTGTCATCAGAGAGTGGTGCAGTAGATACAGTGATCTGCACTCACTGGGCTGATGGTGGAGCAGGTGCAGCAGATTTGGCAGATGCAGTTATCGCTGCAACAAAAATACCAAGTAACTTTAAACCATTGTATGATCTGAACCTCAGTATTGAGGAGAAGATAAACATCATTGCTAAAGAAATGTATGGCGCTGGAGAAGTTGTTTTAGCAGACAAAGTGAGTGAATTTAAATAAATAAAATTAATAAAGAGATAATTCCCTTAATATTCAATAGAACTGTATATTTTATGTAGTAACGTATACACAATAAAACATCATTTTTACGATTTTTTGTCAAATTTTAGGTAAAAGAAAAAATTAAAGTATACAACACATTAGGTTATGACAAATACCCTATATGCATGGCAAAAACAGCCAATTCATTAACAGGAGATCCATCTATCAAAGGTGCTCCAACAGGTTTTAAACTTGATGTTAATGACATATATGTATCTGCTGGAGCTGAATTTGTTGTAGCTTCTGTTGGAGAGGTAAGATTTTTAACTTGATATTAATCAATTTCTTTAAATTTATTATACAATCAATACTTTTAAAAATTACAGATTATGATGATGCCAGGTCTTTCTACTAGGCCAAGTATTTATGATATGGATTGGAATAGTGAAACAAATGAGATAGAAGGATTATTTTAAATATAAAAAAAAATCATTTTTCACACACACATAAACATGTTTAAATATCTGTTCATAATGTAATAACTTTATCTGTCATTTATATTTTTCATACTCTGTGTATTTTATGTATAATATATTACATATACGTATTATATATTCTTTATGAAATGTTATCATATAAATAACTGAAACGAACACATTAGTATTATTTCTATAAAAAAAAAAAAAACAATATTTCATTATTTTATATATAATTTATATAACTTTAGTAATGGCTCTAAACTTTGCTGATCTAGCTCTAGGATTTTCATCGACTTCCTCACATAATGGTGTCAATACATGCTTATGCTTCATTATCCATGGAGATGTGACTAAATTTTGTAATTCGTTAACACTAAAAGTCTTACTACGATTTAGATATTTCAATGGTATAGTATTTGCCACACTATCTGCTATATTTCCTGTCATATGCCTTTTAACAATGGTATCTTCTAATGAATGGAAAGATATTGTTATCAAACAACCACCAACTTTTAAGTAATTGCTTGCAAGCACCATGCCATAATTGATTTCATTTAATTCATTGTTTACAAAAATTCTAAAGGCTTGAAATGTTTTAGTTGCACAATGTGAGAATCTACCCAATTGATCTCTTCTAACTTCATCATCAAGTGCAGATTCAACAAGCTGAGCTAATTCTTTAGTCGTTTCTAATTTTCTAAACATGTATCTTGCTTCAATAAGTGCACGTGCTATCTTTCTAGCCTTCTTTTCTTGTCCATAAATTTTTAATATCTGATACAAATCAATCTCATCTGCTTTCTCTATTACATCTGCAGCAGTTGGATTTTCAGGACATCTATAACCGTCCATTCTCATATCTAAAGGTCCATCTTTTGATAAAGAAAAACCTCTTTCTGCATCATCAAATTGCATTGATGAACATCCAAAATCAAATAAAAAACCATCGATGCTTTTCTTTTCAACTTTATGTTTATTAAGTAATGATGGTAAATCTGAAAATCTTCCTAATAAAGGTATTACTTGTCCAGGATAGTTCTTGGATAACTCTTGTGCAATATTGTATGCAACTGGATCTCTATCTAGTGTAAAAATTGTAACATCTGGTTCTGATTTCAAAATTTGTTTACAATGCCCTCCGGCACCAAAAGTCATGTCTACATAGATTTTACCCGGAGACGGTTGTAAATACTGTATGACTTCTTTGGCCATGACAGGTATGTGTTCGTTACTACTTTTAATTACATTTTGTTTCTGTATATCTTTTTGTTGACTAAAATATCTTTTGCTAATTACATATTGTTTATTAATTTTTGCTAAGCAATGAACTTGTACTCTTGTCTCATGATATACTTTTTTACTATATAAAGCGTATAAGTATAATAAACTAATCTTATAATTATTTCTTTGAATCATCTTTAGGGTTATTTACCATACGTCTTATACCAAAATACTTATTTTCTTCTTCAAGATATTCTTTCATCTCAGGACTTAATGCAATATTACATTGTTCTACTGTTAAGCCACTTGCAGTGCTTTTGAAACTACGTGTGTATATTTGTCCATAATGATTAGAAATGATTCTTTTCAAACTTCCATAATATCGGTCACATTGTTCTTGATCCACTGGAGCAGTAATAGCACCTTTTGAAAAAGTAAGTTTCACTTGATCACGAATATGTTGCCCTAAATCCCTGAATAAAAGAAATGAACAACATTTATACTATACATAACAAAATTACACAGGTATAAATACCTATTTTCATAAGAATGATAACTTTACTAATATTATTTATAACCTATAAATATGTAAATAAATCTAATGATTTTTGTATCATTATACACATAAATAGTATTATTGCTATTAATATTAGTATATACAAGATTTGTAATATAAATTAAATTACCTGCCCAGTTTTGACTTATCTAATGGCCAAGATTCTAGCAATTTCAAAAAATTCCTATAGTTACCAGCCATGTCCTAACTTGCATAACATAAACTCCGGTTTTCAATAATTCGTTCTTTCTTGTCATGCACGCATATATTTTTATTTGCAGGTTAGAAAGTACCAATTCAACCAATATAATTGAGTTAAATATTTGGATATTATTTAAATGAAATCTATCAAAATTTACTTTTAAACAAAAAAAAATCACATTTTATTTATTGATCAATAATTACAATTTATATTTTATTTTGTGCTTTTTATTGGTGCATTAGAATGCAATAGCACGCATTTTCCAATCACAGATGATGCACAGTATTAACTCAATAGTACCAACCTTTGAAATCAAATTTTCAGTGTATATTTGCACCCCTCTCTTTGGCTCAATAAAATAATATATTTTTATAAATAATTAAAAACAATTAATTAATCATTACTGAAAATCTTATGATTTTATAAGTAAAGCAATAAAAATGAAATGATTTATTAACCAATGTACATAAAGATGAAAAATCAAATAATATGTGTACACAATGGATTCTAAATTTTCTAATGTTGGTAAAAAGAAGGGATATTTCTAATAGTCGATTTGGTATCTTTCAAACGACGATCGAGTCATGTAGCGTGCCGTGGTTCACTCGCTCGGCGACAATGGCGGCAGATCTTGAACAGTTTCAACAAATTTTAAACACACTTCTCAGCGCAGATAATGATGCTCGAACGCAAGCTGAGGTTAGTACATTGTATCTAATTTTTTAAATAAATCTAATGAATATATTTCTAACGTGAAAAATATAAGAATTTCGATGATTCTTCGATTACCTTTGGAGCACGTTGCCAACATGTCAGAACTTAGCATGAATGATTTCTCAGATCGTAATATTTTTAATGCGTATTTTTATTACATTTTAATCCGTTATTTCATATGAATTGAATAATTATATATTTAAATTGATGTTAATAAGAATTATCACCCTTTCGAATGAATGCTAACAAGTGTTTGGAATAAGCTAATAAAAATCCAAAATGGTGTCGCGCGCGGCACTGCGTGCTTTGCTAAATCCATTTATTCATTTTTATATACAATTTAACATGATTATAAGAGAAATAATCAAAGAATGTGTCGAAAGATCAAGTTTGCTACATATTTCTTTAAATATAAATAATCAATGATGCGAATAAAAATACAGCATACCAAACAGCATGGAGTTCTTGTTGGATTGCATTCATCCAATGTGCCTTCCCTCCCACATGCATCCCTATTTCCAGTTCCGGAATTTAAAAATTTTTCGTATAAAAAATTATATCGAGTTAAATTTGTATATGCGCGATTTTTATACTTGGTTTTCTTTGCATTTTATACATTTTATTGGATTAAGCTTATATACATGCATATACGTTGGCATGATTCATGTCATTCTTTTTTCATTTCCAAATTCAATCACGTGCGATTCGACAATCAATCCTTATCCTTTAATGGCCAACGGTCTTTATTTTAAATGAAGTATCCTTTATTGAAAGTATTGAATAAAAAATATCTATGTATATTATATTATAAAAAATATATATAATGTTATATTATTTAACACAATTTATAGCATTTTTGTATAATCTTTTAAATTCCCTATTATGAAGTTTATTCTAATAGATACAGTTTATGTTGTATTATAATTGATATAAAAATTATATATAATCAAATTGATAAACATTATCAAGATACTACACAGCAAAGATTTAATTGCTTAATGAATTAATTTTAGGAAGCATATAACAATCTTCCGGTGGAAACTAAGGTAACATTCCTTTTAACATCGGTTTGCAATAATGTCCTTGCAGAAGAAATGCGTGCTATGGCTGCAGTCCTACTGCGCCGACTTTTTTCATCTGATTTCATGGACTTTTATTCTAAGGTACCAATCATAAACATATCTGTATATTAGATTATGTAATTATTTCTTTACATATCTATAATATGTAGCTTTCTGTATATCATAGGCACATAAAAATTTAGTCGAATAAATTATGTCAAAGAAGCCAACTAAAATAGTTTCAAGCAAACTATATATTATGTTTGAAGTTAGTGCCAACAAGTATTGCCAATGATAAATATATTATCCATAGTTATCTTAACTTAACTTTCTTAATAAAGATTTTATTTTACTTTATAATATAAAAGTTTAACAAATATATTAATAATTCTCTTAAATTATTCTCTTATCATTGGTTTCCCTCTTTATAGAATAATTTTTGTCTTTATATTAAACAAAAATTAATAATAAGTTATATATTTCTATATAAAAATGTTGACATAATTTTCATTCAGATCCCTCCAGAGGCACAAGTACAATTGAAAGAGCAAATCTTGTTATACGTTCAAAATGAACAAACAGAAACAATTCGCCGTAAAATATGTGAAGTTGCAGCCGAAGTTGCCCGTAATTTAATTGATGAAGATGGAAATAATCAATGGCCAGAATTTTTGCAGTTCCTGTTCCAATGCGCTAATAGTCCTTTACCGGCATTAAAAGAAAGTGCATTACGAATGTTTACGTAAGTTGACAACTCTAAATTTTAAACCGGATTTAAAACTTCCAAAATCAAAAGGAAATAAAAATATGGGTTACAGTTCCGTCCCTGGTGTATTTGGAAATCAACAATCAAATTATCTTGATCTTATTAAGCAAATGTTACAACAATCAGTCACGGATAATACAAATTATGAGGTAAATAATTTCTTTATACAAACTTGGAAGATTGATTACACGAGATGCTAGAAATTTAAAATTTCTCGTCACACGTCTTCCTACAAAAATTTGCCTTCTGATGACTGTAGCTTGTGAAGTTTTAATTTACAGACAGATACGGGGCATACATACAAACATTAATTTTTTACATTCTTATTTATTAAAACATTTTTTAACTATAATTATAATTAAACAAATATTTTTTTATTGTCACTAAAATAAATAAATTTTTTGATCATATAGGTTAGATTCCAAGCAGTAAGAGCAATAGGAGCTTTTATAACTTTACACGACAAAGAAGATAATATACAGAAACATTTTTCTGAACTTTTACCAGTAGTTGTGCAAGTAACTCTTCAGTCCGTAGAAAAACAAGTTGATGATGCTTTATTAAAAGTATTGATTGACTTAGCTGAGTCTACACCTAAATTTTTGAGAAATCAATTAGAGAATATCATGGAAATGTGTATGAACATTTTTTCAA